GAAAGAGTGGTCAGACACTGGAACAGACTGCCCAGGGAGGTGGTTGAGTCGTCATCCCTGGATGTGTTTAAATGTCGCTTAGATGTGGTGTTGGGTGATACGGTTTAGGGGTGAACTTGTAGTGTAGGGTCAATGGTTGGACTCGATGATCTCAAGGGTCTTTTCCAACCTGAATTGTTCTATGATTCTATGATACAGCAGAGAATTAGCATAGGGCTAGACTATTCTGTCATCAATCAAGACCAGAAGGATATTTTTTTAAAAAAATATAAATGCTAAGAGTGAGATCTATCTCACCCAGCTTTAAGTGTCTGCCACGTAGATACCTTGGCTGATGAGCCATATTTCCTTAACAGTCAGCAGAAAAATAGACACTTTAAAGCATGATTTGTCTCATCTTAAAATAGACACAAAATCATGCCAGATGAGTCTGTAATGAGGCTCACGATATTTACATCTGATCTAGCCATCTAAAGCCATGTGAAATGATGACCCATTCTATGACTTTAGGTACTCATCCATACAATGTCTGTAGGGGAACACATTAGCCCTTGACCCATGAATTCTTCTAAGTAGGCTCAAGCATACTGACACAACCATCTCTCAATTTACCCACGTTTGGGTCTGCTGTCACAATGCATCTTATCACTTAGCACGTATCTCAACAGCCAACTGCAAATACTCACTTGCCCATCGCAAATCAAGAAGTACAAATTGCATATTTTGTTTCTAATGAGATGAAATATGATTCGGTTCAGTTATTTGGAACTTATAGTTAACAGTGAGGAAAAGTAGGACTTTCTTTAGACTTGCCTGTGATAAGCCAGTAATACAAGTCTGGATAGACTTAGCGTTCCTATTAGCGTTGGCATGTTTCTCCAAATAGGTTCCCACTGTGTTAGACATATGGCTACTATTTCCAGATATACATTCAGGTGTGCCCACAGAATGCAGAGGTCTGCTCCTTATAATGATAAATTTGAAACCAAATCCCAGTCTTTAAGAGATTTATATTTATCCACCTGTTCATAGGCTGAATGATGATACAGATGAAAGAAGAGGTGTTTGTCAGACAAATTTATGTATTTGTAGAATCTCCTCAGGTATAGCACACTATAAACATCCCTTCACTTTCAGAACGAAGAAGCAGCTGAGAGGTGGCAGCTTTTCATTTTGTATGAAAGGCTTTTTAGAAAAAAACTTTCAGAAGAAGGGTGGACAGGAAAACCGGAAGGAAGTGCATGGTTTGCCACAAACAATAAGACTGAGCACATTTGCCTGCAACCATATTGTTATACAGAATAAAATGGGAAAATGACTTCTACGAAAAGGAGATCAAGAGTTTTCTCCAGTAGGGAATTGTCTTGTATGCTTGCACGTTGAAGCCATAATGGAAGGAATCAAAACTGAAATCAAATGGGTGCAATCAAAACTGTAAAAAACCCAGCCACATAATTAGCTTTTACAGCAGCATTCAGCAGCCTACAGTAACTGTATTTTACAGTACTTTAACCACATCCAAAAATCACACTGAAGGCTTTAGGTTAACATCAAATGATGCAACTGTTCCCACAACGACTACACTCAACAACACACAACTACCCACCACAACTCCACACTTGTAAGATCCTAGCGTTAGTGGGCTACCACTGCTGCAGCTTTCAGACATTCTGTTGCTTCTAGTGTCAGACTCTGCTCCTCTGCAAGAGTCTGGCAAAAGCACAGTGTTCCCCACATCTGAATTTATTTGATTATTCAAGACCAAAATGTCTTACAACTCCTTCCTGAAGAAGTTAACTTGGAGTGTGTCTTTTATTTTTCAGAATATCTTTGGTGAGAACTCTTTGGACAAATGAACGTTTTGACCTTAGAGAAAACAGGCTTGAAGAAAATATTTCACTCCTGGATTTCAAGAAATTCCTCAAAACCAAACAAAAATTAAAACCCGGGATTTGGTAATGAGTACTTCCCTGGTCTAGAAAGCATTCTTTGGAGACAAGGAAGTAAAAAAACATTTAAGTCTGCAAATTCAAATTTATTTTGGATTCTGGCATCAACAGTGCTAATGGATTCAGCAGAAAGACTTGCCCCACATTCATGCAAAAAGCAGCTCTAGTGGCTAGAAGGGTATCTCTAGAATCCAGACTGGCTCCAAGCTCAACAGCTATCCTGGTCCCAATGCAGCAAGATCACAGTTGTAAGGCTTCTTCAGTCACTTGAAAATACAGTGTGCAAAATCTGAGAGCAAAAGTTTTGATTGACCTCAGAGAAATACGACATATGAGCTGCCAATGACAGCACAGCAATCTTTTCCCTCAGGTTAACAATAATGCAAAACTCTTTGTTGTACCAATGATTCTTCTGACACAGGAATGTCTCATTTCTCTAGGGCAAGAACTGATATCAGGAGAAATATCTCCAGTAGTGAATATCATAGGGTTGAAACCTTGTACTCTGAAGTACATTACATTTTTTAGCTCATTCACACAAAACAAGGCTTCAAGAGGCTTATCCTTTGATACCGTCTTGGAAACGGACACTGACTTCACCTTCATATCACCTTGGGCTTTTTAGTTCGCCTTTGGCAGCTGACATTGACAGAGTACCAATGGTGCACATGATTTTCTTGTTCTTAGATATTTCTCTGCCAACATACAGAAGACAATGCATTATTTGCATTGCACGTGTCATATTGGAGAGTTTGAACAACTATGATGAGAATTTCAAAAGAACCAATCAGTATGGTTTTCTCAGAAGGACTGAAATTTCAGTCTTGTAGGGCTGAACTTCAGGGTCGGAAGAATTAAAGGCAATTTGAGTATATGCTCCATACATTGGTACGTTTTGAGATTGAAGAACTACAGGTTTGAAGATTTATTAATCTGCCACTGAACAGGCAAGCTCTTTAGGACAACTTTGAGGACAGGCTACAAGATGGAAATTGCTGAGTCCAAAATGTTGACATTAGGGTTCTAAAGAAGACCCTGAAGAATTCTGAATAGCAGACAGTACTGAAGATATAAATTAGAATGCTGAGGCCTTTAAGTATCCACCTGCAATGAAAAGAAGGAAAAAAAAGACTTGGACCAACCCTGTCTTCTGTGCTCTCTTACAGAGCCCAATGAGACAAGAATCACCTATTTACTCCAGGGGAAAACAAAGCTCCTTTATGGTGCTAAGAGCCCATGAGATACTTGAACATATTCAACCCATATTTCCCCACCCTTTATGCCTGAACTTCCAGAACCATTTGAATTATAAACCCTGCACGTGTGGCCACTTCAAAACCCAATCTTTTCTTGCAAGTTGGCAGTCTCCCAGGGTTTTAAGACTGGACATCCTATCCACTGTGCGGCACTTGGATCTACGCCACAGTGGCTGACCTATACAAGAAAGGAATCCTGGTTATGAGCACATCTCCCTGCCAGATGCCTCAGTGTGCAATGCCAACCCTCTTCAAAATTATGCTTACCTCACTCATCTAAAATAAGCCAGCAAATCCTCAGGAGCAGACAGCAACTGAACCATGCAAAAGCAATGGCCCCAGACTGCTCTCTGCAGCAATCCTTCCATGAGGGGCTGAGCTACTTTCCTTGCAAAACGACATCTTCAGATGCAACACAACAAGTTTATTTTCAGGCATATCTAAATGTGGTTTTATTTGGTGCAATACACAACAGATGGGCTCCAGTGCTGGGAATAAGAGCCCAAGTGAAAAACCAAATGTCTGACAGTAAGATGATTCCCAATATCCCTGGGTTCAACTGGAAATCAACCTGTTTCGCTTTCTACACTGCAGGAAGCTGGCAGTATTATGAATTTGACACCAAAACCTCGTAACACTCATCTAAACCAGAAATAACATATTAACCTATGAAAAAAAAAAATCACTACAGTATGTCAAATCATAAACATGCCAAAGATGTAGCTGAAATCTGAGACACTCTCAAAATGTGTTTAAATTACTAAGTGGCAAATGTAAACTTAATTTAGTGTGAAAATTTTCCTCACGCATCTAGGAAGAGCCATTTACTTCTAGGCCACCATTCACCTCTTTTTGGAGCTGCGTTCTCGGCTTCTCTCCCTGGAACTATGCCTGCTTCTATGGTGGCTGCGACTCCGGCTGCGGCTGTTGGAGCGAGACCTGTGACGGTGGCGTTTCTCACGGGATTTGGAGCGAGTTCTTCTCTTTCGTTCCCGGGAAGCTGAGCGAGATCGATGTCTGCGGCGATCTCGGGACCTAGATCTTGGAATAGAAAGGATTTAAACTAGATGCTGCATTCATTGAGCTGCCCTACCAGAGTACTGTGAATATTATGAACCATGTGCATATCTGCACAGAGAATTATCTGCAGTATTCAGAGCTATTGCGCTGTTCTATCACAGGCAAACAGAGTGGGAAAAGCAGCATTAAAAATCCTAAAAACTCTTTTGTGACTAATCCACACAATTTTACAGTTAATTTGTGACTGACTGTATGGTTACAGTGTAGCCAATTTAGGCTTGTGAAAGTACTTAAAATATGGAAAAAACCTACTATTTTAAATTTTTAAATCTTGTCTTTATCAGGCAACTTGTGGAACCTCATGATGCAGTAATAAGGATCATCTGCCAGAACCTGTGTATAATAATGTTCTGAGAAAAATGAACTACATCATTCCCCATAGTTACTACAACAAAACCACACTGGAAGGTTCTAAAAAAATCATAAATTTGTATGGTGTTTTTTTTTTTCCAAAATCACTTTAAAATAAGACCTCACTGGTGACCTTCAGCTGTTAGGTTAGGGAGAAAACTTTTACTATTGAGTTGTCATCTGTTGAGAGTTAACCCCGTGCTTAGGATTTTAAAAGTGAGCTTTCATCAAAAGGTATTAACCATTAGCTTCTGTTCTGAAGACAGAGCCGTTTCCTGTGTCGTGTTACTTGGGACAAAAAGTTGCATTGTAGCAGCCAGAAAACAGTTGTACATGTATAAACTCAGTAGCATGATGATAAATACTGTATAAACCCAGAGAGATGATAATCTAACATAGTGCTTTGTCTGTAAAGACTGAAATCTTAAACTAACAGTGCTAGACAAACTTATGATGTTCCAGCTTGTGAAAGGCTGGCTTCACTGACAGTATTCCTGTCTGCAGATATATATACCTTTTGGCATGCTTGCTGTGGGATCTGGACCTGAAAAAAATAGAAAATAGCAAATCAATCTTTCTTACAGAATCTTATTAGCAAATAAACTACAATTTAGTAATAATAAACTAGACTAGTTGACCTGTTATTGTATTTCTTATTTCACTAGCAATTAATTAAAGGCCTTTTGTTTGATGTTAACATCTCTGTAACATATTTACTATTGTAACATATCCCTCTGACAACTATTTTATGGTTTTGGGGTGTTTTGGTGGGTTTGTTTTTTTTTGAGCCCACCATACCAGAAACCCAAAAGAGTATCTGATCTGCTTTTTTATTTCTCGCCCCTCTCACAGAAAAAGATTACAGTTCAAGTCAGTATTCCCTTCTTTCTTGTCAGGCACCCATTATCAGAATGCAACAGATTGAGAAAGTTTACATTGTTAACTTCTGAAACTAACACTTTAAGAGAACTGCAGCTCGGATTCTATTCCACTCTAGCTCCACAGAGCCTGGAAGCAACTATTTCACAAAAGGTCCTTTCCTCAGTCATACAGCCAACTACTTCCAGGAAGAAAAAATTCTAACATCTATAAAGAAAGCATCTAAAATTTAACAGATGTTAGAAACTCACAGGTGTGTAAGCTTACATCTGATAGGTCTCATAAGGCCATATCTGAAAATTAGCTCATCTAAAGGCCATTTGTTCAAATATGTAGAGACACTTTCATCTTTAGTTTTTTAAGACTTTCTATAAATGCAATTTAGGTTTTAAGATTTAGACATGAAATTCACTCTCAATCCTTTCAAGTTTCCAAGGAATGCAGACTACTGTGATTCTGTAGATGTAGGAAAGGGTGTCAACTACATCAGAGTTTTCCCACCAAAACTAAATAGGTCATTATGTATATGCAATTAAAATGGATCCCCACCTCCTTAGTTTCTCCCTTTCTTCTCTTTCTCTCTCCTCTCTACGTTTCAGACGCTCCTGATTTCGTTTCTCCTGTTTATCAGCCACAATTCTCTAAAAAGTAAAGGAATATATTAAGTCATGTTTCAAAATTTCTCAGATGAAAGTACTACAAAAACAGTCTACACAATTAATATTCACTTCTTTCTCTCATGTACATTCCCTTTCTCTTGTGTATATTATTCCCTCTCTCGTCCTCAGTGTAAATATATTTTTTTTTCCTCTAGGAAACAGAAGTTATTGCAGAAGAGCTGCAGCAAATAGATGGGTGTTACATGAAGATCTGAAATATGTAGAGTTACATTAAGTTTTCCACAAAGGGGAATTCAGAGCAGTAAGTCATGCCTTCAGTGTGAGAGTTTTCATGCCAATCCTATCATATTTTGGCCATTGGGGAAAGGCAGAAAGAAATCAGAACCAGAAGAATTAATCGTTCTAACTCCTTCAGCTATGCTGTGACATAAAGACATCCTTAGTCTTAAAGGACTTGGTTGGGCTGGTACCTAGTTTTGAGGATACTTGTTCCTGTATTGTGAACACGAGACATATAATTAGAGAGGATTCTTCGGTTGATAGCCCCCAGGTTGACCTTACTACTACTGGGGTCAAGGCACGCTCAGTAGAGGGCCCTTAGATGTGGAACTCACAACTGGAGATCTGGCCAAACCCAAGTCTCGCCACCTTCTGGACATGATGCAAGAAATTCAACTCTTTGTAAAGACCTTCTTCTGAGATGTGGAATTGCCCCAGCAGCATCTTGATTAGATCTCTGAGGAGAGCTCTGAGGAAGGAGGGGATAGTTATTGTTTTCTTTTTTTGTTAACAAAGTACTTCAAAAGATTATTTTATTGATGCTTTGGGAATGTGAAATAATTATCCATGCATTTTTTTTTCCAAATGGTGTAAATTATCAGTCATTTCAACCCTTTATGTAAAATTGTATCTACACTTCCTTGCACAGTATCAGTAATTTAACTGTAAGCAAGGTTGCTTGTTCAAGTGACTCTTTGCATAATTTCATGGAGGGATGAGAGGAAGTACTCATGATCTGTTCTAGGCATCTAAGGTTTAAGTTACAGCAGCTATATTTAGGACCCTCAATTATGAACAGAGAGAGCTGGGCTTTCCAAAGGGTAAGTCACAGTATCCATGCACGACAGCTGGAATATTATGAAATATTAACCAAGCCAATTTACTCAAACTCAGTAGCAGCACTTGCTGCATTTAGGGCTTCAACTCATTTAGTTGTTTTCTTTAGTAATTTCTAAAGTTTACTGCTTAACTGAGCCTTGAACCTTGTAACTTGCATAGTAAGATAATAAATGGCACCAGTGTCCAAAGTCATCCTCTTGAATACCAAAAGTCTAGAATATAATTCCAGTAAGCCTTTCTTCCAGCACATGATTTCTGATCAAGAAGACAGTGTTATTTAGGATAATATTCCAACTGGATTTCAAATCTTCAAGCTATAGGGAACATGCAATCTCCTCTTGATAATTATGTTAATAGTTAGCCTGACTTCAAGATGTACACCTTTTTTGTATTCTCACTTTCAATAGCTACAGGCTTGAGCTGATACATTTTATTTATTTTATATGTTGTCAGCTAAGCTTAAAAGCCTTCAAAGATTACTTAAAAAAAAAATCTTCTTTAGTTATTGGTACCTATACAATGAAAGTCACCTTACAATGAAAGTCACCTCATCATCTTTGTCCAGATAAAATAAACAAACTGAGCTTTAGTCTTTCATCATGAAGGTGGCTGTTTGAGCTCCAAGCATTTCTTAGAGTATTCCATTCCAAGATCTGTTTTGAAAACTGCCATGTGTTACCATCCTCCTTATGCACTGGTACCAAAAATGGGGATTTCAACACCAGCCGTATCAACATTTTATCCTAACTAAGTAAGTAAAAACATTGCTCACTTGCGGCCAACCACAAGGTCTTGTATTTTTAAGTGTCTCATTATGACTTTCAGCCCATCAACTGGCTAAAAGTAAAGTTTATTTGGCTGCCTCCTATGACTGCTAAATATGTTTCAAAATCACTGTAATTTAAAATACAGTTCTCCATTTTGCAAGTGGAACTGCACTCTTTGTTCCCAAGATGCGTTACACTGACCATGTGTTTTAATATACCTCATGCAAAAGAGGTCATCTTACCAAATTCTCCAGTTAACTGATATTAAATTAGAACATTGAGGGCTTTGTAGAGTAATGAAATATCAATTTTTAAAGTAGTAAGAAAAAAAATTAATACACTCAAAGAAATATTCCAATAAGGTTGCCTGGCAAATAACTGAGTAGGAGCACACACACAAAAATATAAAAATGATTTACCCTGAGTTCCTCAAGCTTCTCTCTTATTTCAATAAATCCTAAATGTAGTTTTCCTCCAAAGTGGTCAGCAAGCCGCCGGTCATTATCATGAAGACCAAGATAAGCTGAACACACTTCACAAACCCGCAACTTCTGCTGCTGAAAGCTGGAGGCAGGCATAGAATTCCTGTATACTTCCTATAAAGAAAAAAAAAATTAAAAATTGCTGTTACTTCTCAGTGTACAGCAATAGAAAGGTAACACTTTACTGAAGATATACTAGAAGGCAGGTTACTTATATTGAAGATTGAACACATTTAAAAGCAGGACATTAGCAAATAGCTTTGTAAACTAAAAAAAGTGGGGTGATTTTTACATTCACTTAAGAACATACTACTTAGAAGGATGGTCAAATTTTTCATATGCAACAATGAATATACACTAACACTAGAACTACTGTTAACATATCATGAAGATATTACACCAGTTTTAATCCTGAACCCAGTTTGAAACATATAGTAGATTCTTGAGAAATCTACCTTAATTTTAGACACTAATTAAATAAGTTATCTGAGCAAAATTTATCTACACTAACATAACAGATAAACAAGACTGCGAGCAACTCCTGTGGTAACATTAAATTTATAGAAACAAACATCCGCATTTGTTTTTTAAGTATCATGGTGAAATATGATATGGAAAAGCTCTTTGTGAGTTCTGCCATCTGAACATTTCCAAGGACCATTTTGATGTGCCTGATACACAAGCCATCAACTAATTATCTTTCAGTGAAGACAATGATACACTTCACTGAAGCTTTCCAGTATGAACCACATCAGCATACCACAAAGCACAATAGGGTTGCCACGGAAGGGCCAAAAGACCAAACAAGATCACAGAATCACAGAATTGTTGAGGCTGGAAAAGATGTCTGAGACCATCAAGTCCAGCCCAACACCACCACACTGACTAGACCACAGCACTAAGTGCCACATCCAGCCTCTCCTCAAACACCTCCAGGGACGGTGACTCCATCCCTTCCCGGGGCAGTGCATCCAAGTGCCTGAGCACCCTCTCCATGAGGAAGTGCTTCCTGAGATCCAACCTAAACCTCCCCTGATGCAGTTTCAGGCCGTGCCCCCTTGTCCTGTCACTAGTTGCTTGGGAGAAGAGCCCGACCCTCACCTGACTAC